AGAAAATGATTCTTTGATCCTACCACCACCTTTTGATTTCATTTCATTCTATATTCTATTCTCTCTCTCTCTCTTTCTCTCTCTCTCTCTCTCTCTATATATATATATATATATATTCTAATATTCTATTCACTGCTAAAATGTAAGGAAAAAAATCATCTGCATTCATTGCCTCTACTTCCTCATTCACTGTCAATGTCCTGTAATCTGACTTTAGAACCCACCACCTGAGTGAAACTGTTCTTTTCGAGGTTACTAATCTTGTAATTGTTAAATCCACCTGTAGTCCCCTATCTGATTTTGGTACCATTGATGACCCCCTTCACTGACATATTCTTTCCTCCTGTGATCTTCATGATACTATTTTCTTCTGGATGCCCTCCCAGATGTTGAACTTCTATTTTCAGTTCCTGCTGTCTGTGCCCCTCTAAGTGTGACAAGTGTGATCTAGGCCTCTTCTCTTCTCTCCTTATAACTAAACTCTCTTTTTTGCTAATCCTTTCAGTTCCCATGGGTGCAACCATCATCTCTATGTAAATGACTATAAAATCTACATATCTAGTCCTCATCTCTTCTCCAAAATCTAACTTTGCTTCTATTTATTGCTTGCTAGATATGTCTACATTAATGACCCTTAAGTATATCCAAAGTGAAATGCATCATCTTTCCCTTGTAGTCTTCCCATGCTAACTTTTTCATAATATTTCTTTGAAGAGCATTGCCATTCTTCTAATCCAGTTCTTAAACTGAGTCATTTTTAACTCTGTTCTCTCCCTCATGTTCCATATCCAATCAATTTCCAAAGCTTGTCAATTCTACCTCCTATGACATCTGTTACATCAGTCCTCTTCTTTCCACTCATGGCTACTACCCTCATTCAGGCCTTGTATCACTTCTAGTTTGAACCATAGCAATAGCTCCTAATTGGCCTTTGTATTTCCAATCTCTCTCTCCCAAATCCAATTTGTCCTCCACACAGCTGCCAAATTTATATTGCTAATGTTTCAGTAGTGTTGGACTCTTTGTGACTCCATTTGGAGTTTTCTTGAAAAGATACTGGAATGATTTACCATTTCCTTCTCTAGTTCACTTTACAGATGAGGAAACTGAGGCAAAGAGCATTAAGTGACTTGCCCAGTATCATATAGCTAGTAAGTGTGCAAGGCCAGATTTGAATTCAGGTCTTCCTGACTCCAGACCCAACACTCTATCCACTACCATCTATTCCTAATTATAGGAGTGATGAAATCACTCCCTGTCTGATACTTTTTGGTGTCTTCTTATTGCTTAACAGAAAAAAATACAATCTCTTCTGTTTGATATTTGCACTGTATCACATTCTGCCTCCATCTTACCTTTCCAGACAATCACTCTTTCTTCCACACTGTGGTTCAATAAAATTGGCTTATTTGCAGTTTTTCCTACATGACATTCCAGCTTTTGGCTTTGTGGCTTTACACAGGTTGTACCCAATGGAACATTCACTCCCCTTCCCTTTGCCTCTTGGAATCTCTATCTTCTTTCCAGATTAAACTTAGGTATTATTTCCTATATAAGGTCCTTCCTGATCTCCTTAGTTCTTAGTGCCCTCTGCCTTCTGAAATTCCTTTGTATATGCTTTGCAGGTGCATTTATTTGCATATTTAGGTACATACTATATTGTAATTTTCTGCAGAATATAGGCTTCTGGAGGGCAGGAACCTTAATTTCATTGTTTTATGAGGTGGAAAGTACTTTATAGGTCATCTAGTCCAATCTTCCCATCTTACAGATGAGAAATGTGAGCCCAAGTAGAGTTGCATGGTTTGCCCAACACCACACAGTAATAAAAACAGGAGTTTAATTGAGATTCTCTAACTCTAAGGTTCATATTCCACACATCACCCCCCATACCATTTAAAAAAAACTCTTTGTATCTGCAGTAGCCAACATGGTTTCTTGCATATTATGTTTTTCCTAGCTTGTAAGTTTGTTGGTATAGGGAAATCCCAGGGAGAAAACTCTGTCTGCAAGTGCAGATCAGAGCCTGTTCTATGACTTAGAATTTTAGGGGATTCCTTTGGGCACTGAGAGAGAAAATAGTTTGTCCAAAATTGTGTGAGAGTCAAGACTTGAACTCAGTTCTTCTTGATACTGAGAGGAGCTCTTTTTCTACTACTCCACAATGACTAATACCTCAGAGAGAATAGGTGTCTAATAAATGCTGATGGGTTGAATTGAATCGAATTTTTCCAAAAGGTCATGATTTCACCAATGTGCCTCAACCAGGGTGGATTGTAGTTACCCCAACTCTTGAAGAAACATTCTTTTTGGAGTGCTGTAGCTGGAAAAGCATTTGGTGGCCAGCATTATGGGGACGCCTCTCTGTGCTTAGTTGGCCTGGTCCTAAGACGTGGAATGCATAGTTCTTTGCTAGACCACTATTTGAGGAAGACCCTTCCAGCTTGGTAGGACCTGTCAGGACATGTACTTTGCTACCATAGCCTTCTAGATCACAGGGAGTACACAGGATTACTCCCTGCTACCTTGTGGAAGAGGCAGCTCTGCTGTAGTTGAAAGGATGCTCCATTTGGCATCAAAAGGCATGGGTCTAAATCTTCTCTTTGCCATGTACTAGCTGTGTGACCCTGGGCAACTCACTTGGCTTTTCTGAGTCTCTATTTCCTACATAAAAACAAGGATAATAATTCCTCACAACTTGTTTGGGAGGATCAAATGAAAATGTGTGTAAAGTCCTTTGTAAACCAGTTATCTCTGTATAAATTCCAGGTATTATTAACGCAACATTGAAGGACTTCAGTGCAGGAAATGATTAAACATTATACAAACAGATGGGATAACATGTAATCCCTTGTGTTTGTATAATGATTTCATATCCATTATTTCATGTGAACTCATAGCAACCCTGTGATATAGGTAGTACAAATATTATCGCTCTTATTTTACATATGATTTAGTGCTGGAAAGGGCCTTGGATTTCATTTAGTTTATGAGCTCTTAGCCTGGGATCCTTAAACTTGTTTAACTATTTTTTTTTTATAAATGTATTCTAGTATAATTGTTTTCTTTTGTAATCCTATGAATTTTATTGTATGCATTTAAAAACCTTCTCCTTAGCAGAAGTTAGTGGGTTTTGGCCAGATGGCCAAACAAAAAAGGTTAAGACCCCTAATAGACCAACCCACTCATTTTCCTAATAAGGAAACTGAGACTTTCCTCAGGAGAAGTGACTTGCTCTAAGTCACAGAGGAGTAAACGGCAGGCCTGGGACTTAACAGATGTTAAGTCTTATGATGTCTTATAACTTATGATGTCTCTTCTTTTTGTAGCAAGGTTTCCATCAAAACTCATCAACTGTGAACTTAACAGCAGGCCAAAAAAGAGAGGGATTTTGTTCATATTATGAAATTGCACAGGTTGAAACCAAAAATGAAATTCTGGAGAGATAAGATCCAGTTCCTGTGAACCACAATCCTGTAAAGATGCATGGAAACTTTGGGGAGAACAGACCAGCTGCTGCCATCAGGGTTGCCAACCTCAGCAGGGAGGGAGGTTAAATTCAAGTAGAGAAATAGAATATTTAGAGGAGAATTCTCTGTTCAACTGTCCTAATTTTCTTACAGCTCTTCTATAGGATCAGAGACTTAGAGCTGCATGGAAATTAGTAATCACTTAAGTCTAACCCTATCATTTTACAAATAAGGAAACTGAGGCACAGGGAGGCTAAATGGATTGATTCATACAGATTGTCAGCAATAAAGCCCAGCTTCAAACCAAACAGACAGTTAAACATTTGTTAAATGCCATACTATGTGAGAGACTGTGCTAAGTGCTGAGGATACCAAGAAAGACAAAAGACAGTCCCTATTCTTGAGGCACTCACTATCTAATGGGGAGACAACATTTAATGCAAGTATTTTCATTCTAAACCAAACTCTCTTCCCAACATCTAAGACATTCCTTGCACTCAGTTGGGAGAAGGTTGGGCAAGACTTGGCCCTGGTTTGCATCTTTATGAAGTCCAGAGGGCATTTGATCTTTATTAATACAATCTCCTCTATGCCTGGGGGAGTGATGAAGAGATTAGCCACAAGGTTTCCTGTTCCTAACTGCCTTCTTTCACTGGTTTTAATACTTATCCTTTAAAGTCCCGTAGCACTTTATAGTTTACATAGCACTGTCGCATACATTCTCATTTGATCCCACCAGCACTTTGTGGTGATAAGAAGAAGAATGATAACCCAAATCTATAGTGTTTTCAAGTTTATAAAGCACTTTCTTCAGGGTAACCTTTTGAGGTTGGTAGTACAGGTTTCATTCTTCCCATTTCAAATAGGAGGAAATTGAAATTCCAAGAAGTGAAATGCTTTACCTGGAGTCACACAGCTAGTAAGTGTCAGAGTTCACCTTCACAATTTTACAGGCTTTGAGATCTTTCTTCACAATGACCTTCTGAGGTTAGGCTCTGAGTGTTTATCATCCTCATTTTACAGGGAGGGAGAACTGTAGCTCACAGTGGTACAATAACTCAACCAAGGTCACACACCAGACTGTCTCTGGAATTGTGACTCTCATTCCAGTAGCTGTTTTTCCATCATGCTACATTGCCTTTGGCTAAGGGCCTTGGAATCATAGATTTACTTCTGGAAGGCATGTTAGAGATCATCCCATCCAATCCCCTCATTTTACATATGAGGAAACTGAGGCTCAGAGAAGTTGAACAAAATCCTGTTTCTTCTTAGAAGCAATCTTTAGGAAATATTAAATATTTGGGGTTTATGTAATTTTTTCTTCCTAACTATGTAACTGTGGGCAAACCATTTATTCTCCCTGAGCTATAATGTTATAAAATGGATAGAAAAACATTCGCTGTACCTATTTCACAGGGCTGTCATTAAGGAAAGTGCTTTGTAAACCTTAAAATGCTTTGGAAATCTCAACTAGCTGAAATTATTACTTTCTGAAGAATTGCAGAGTAACTGATTTCTATTTTTTTCCAGGCATGTTACCAATCAGACACTAAGTCTGAGAACACTGCGTTTGGAAGAGGTTAGTATAGTTATATATATATATATATATATATATATATTTTTTTTCTTGTAAATATTTAAATTTTTTTCACATTACAATCACTTCCCAGTGACTCCTGCTTCCTCAACAGAACCTCCTCTTGTAACAGATAAATTCAGTTACACAAATCAGTACATTGGCCCCCGGAAGCTAGGTGGTGCAATTGATAGAGCATTAGGTCTGGAGTTCAAATCCAACCTCATACACTTACTAGCTGTGTGACTCTGGGCAAGTCACTTAACTTGTTTTCCTGTTTCCTCATCTGTAAAATGGGGATGATGATAGCACTTACCTACTAAGGTTGTTGTGAGAATAAAATGAAACAATAATTGTAAATCACTTAGCACAGTGCTTGGCACATAGTGGTTGAAAAGAGGAGGAAGGAAGATAACTCACAAGGGGACATGATGGAGGAGTCCAGATTTCAGCTGGTGGAGAAATGAATTACATCATGAAATTTGTTTTCTTGGTTCTGTTTACTCTGATCTGCATCAGCTCCTATATGTCTATTACATCCACATACTACAAATTGTCCAGGCAATGGATGCTCACTCTCCTTCCAGTTCTCTGCACCTACAAAAGTGCTGTTGTACATGTTTGGTACATATGGAATTTTCCCCACTGTCTTTGACCTTAAAGTAGATATTCTCGTAATTGTGTTGCTTAGTCAGTAAGGTTTTCAGCAGGATAAACATATGTGCTTATGTACCAAATTCAGCACTTGCACTTCCATCATAGCATCAATCTCAGGCAGAACAATCCCACAATCAGACTAGTGGGAGAGGTTTTTCAGAGTGGCAAAGTACTCAGTGTCAGACTTTGATTATAAAAGGATCTTTCAAAAAGCCATCTCCTTTCTTGTAGTGCTTGCTACTCATTCTCAGCTTAACATGCAATCCAGAAATTGCCATATGGCCATTCACCATTTATCTAGGTCTTTTTTTTCCACTCAAAGTTCTGTAAAAAACTGGGAACTGTAGACTAGCTGAAGTTTTTTTTTTTTCATTTCTCTTGGAGATTGTTATCATCAGGCAAATGTCTACTCCATTCTGGCTGCTGAGGTTGGCAACTAGTTATATTTGTTGTTGTTATTGTTCAGTTGTTTTAGTCATGTCCAACTCTTTGTGACCCCATTTGGGGTTTTCTTGGCAAAGATGCTAGAGTGCTTTGCCATTTTCTTCTCCAGATCATTTTACAGATGGGTAAACTGAGTCAAGTAGCATTAAGTGACTTGCCCAGGGTCACACAGCTAGTAAGTATCTGAGACCAAATTTTAACTCAGGAAGATGAGTCTTTCTGACTTCAGGCCTGACACTCTATCCACAGCATCACTCAGCTGCCCAACTAATTATATAGATGGAGGCAAATAATGAGTTACTGATTATGTGACCTAGAACAGGTCTTCATTTTTTTTATTGCAAAACAAAGCAGATGATCTTGAATTTTCCTTCTATCTCTGACATTCTATGTTCTAAGGTTCTCTTCACTGTTAATATTCATGCCATGCTGGCATTTTGTGTTCTAAGGTTCCCTTTAGCTCCATCATTCTATATTCCAATGCCTTTCTCCATTCTCACATCTTATATTCTAAGGGCCTTTCTAACTCTGACATTCTGTGTTCTAATTTTTCACTTTCAACTTAACATTCTACCTTCTAATATTTCCTTCAATTCTAAGATTCCATATTCAAAGCCTCCTTCTAACTCCAACATTCTGTGTTCTGCTTAAGTGTAGCAGGGGAACCACCAAAAGAAGATAAAGAAAAATAAAATAGAAAATGTAAAGACCAACTTATGGGGGATTTTTTTTGGCTCTAAGTGTGGTTTTTGAGATGTGAATGATGGCATTCTTTCATAGATCAAACCTGTCTCCTGAGCCCAGAAATGACCAATCATCTCAGTGGATATTTCAGTTCTAACACCTCTCCTGCTGCTGACTCTGACCCATCACTTAGGAAAACTCATGCTGGGTCTCCAAATGTGAGTAAGTTCCCAGGGACTATTTTTAGATTTTAAAAGGCTTCAAATGCTATTCATTGTACTTCTTTCTGATTCCTGCAGGCAAAACCTAAAATCGGATGGTGTTTGAATCGGGCCTTTTACTTAGCTTCAGCAGTGAAATCTTAACCATTAAAAAGTCATGAAAATATAGATATTTTTGAGAAAAATATTTCATTTCTGTATTTAAGATAAGATTAAATATTGAGCCTCATTTCCTCAAAACTCGAATATTAAATTAATAATTAAAAACCCACTCTTTATACTTCCATGATTTGGGGCAGGGGGTGTCAGTAGTGGTACATGGGCACTAATTTCAAAGACCCAGATATCAATCTCTCCACTCCTTAGTAAGTGACCTTCAAGAGGTACTGTAGCCAAAGCATCAGTCACTCTTCATCTAACCTAGTGAAATGCCTTTACAAACTTAGTGAGGTGGGTCCTTGGATGACAAATATCCGTTAGGAGTTCTGATCAAACCTTCCTACCTTGCTGTCACTGGCCAGAGCTAGTGCTGTGTTGACATAGTTTTTCAGAGCCTAAGGCCATGTTCATGCCACAGTGAGAACATCAGAATAGGACTTTAGTGGAAAAAAATAAGGGTTCAATTTTAAAATAGGGATAGGAACTGAACTTGCAATTTCATTAACATAGGGAACTCCCAGGTGAGGAAACTACCACTACACTTGCAGATTGTCACCCCTAGAGTTATCTTGATCATTGAGAGATTAAGTGATTTGTCCAGGGTTACCCAGCCAGTATGTATCAGAGGCAGGAATGAAACACAGGTCTTCCTAACTTGGAAGTCAGCTCTCTCTCCACTATAACATGATGCCTGTTATATATTTTACAATTTAATTTATGTCAAGGTTGACATACGTTGAAAAAGAAGAAAAAAAGATTGTGTGGCTGGCAATTTAATTTGCCATGATGAATCTACTGTTGTTTCTCCCTCACTCTATATCCCCACAGGCTCTTTCCTACTTTTCTCTCTCTTTCTTCTCCCACCCACCAATTCAGTTCTGCCCCATTTCCATCCTTTCTGTCAATAGATTTGTAACTTTTTCACTAAATTAGCTGGCCAGCAGGTTAGTTTCAATGTTTAACAGTCAATTAACCATCTATCCCTGCAATAAGATGACATTTTCCCTAACTTTGCCTGGTTACAGCTTGACATATGGAGAAAGGAAGATTTGAAAATCCAACCATAACTCCCATTTGGGAGGAAGAGGATGGCAGTCATTCTTTAATATCTAGGCATGGGCTTTAAAAAAAGAAAAATGGTACAATCCCCCCCTCACTGCAAATTGTTTTTTCTTTTTAACTAAAGGTCATTTTTAAGGAAGAACAGTATTTTAGCTGTCACATTGTGAGAAAGGGAGTAAGACTGGAATTTATTTTGCCTAACAGTCTTATTGAACTGATGATAACTAGTGACTCTGTGACTCTTCATTATCTTCAAGGTAAAAGACAATCTCTTTTGCCTGTCATTCAAGGCTCTCCAAAATCTGGCACCAGTCTGCCTTTCCAGTCTTACTGCCTTCCACTCCCTCTGTGCTTCAGCCAAACTGGACAGCTCTCTCTTCCCCAAACACAGTGTTTACTCTCCAGCCTCAGTGCCTTTGTTCCTTATGCCTAAAGTGGAATCCTTCTCTCTCTTTGTCAGTTGAATTTCTATCTGCTCTTTAAAACCCAACTCAAATCTACCTCCATCAAGAAACCTTCTCTGATTTCTGAGGTTATCCCCAGTCCTGGAATTCAGTGGGCACTTTGTACTTCTCAATGCACTTACCACATAATGATGCACATGATTATTTACTGAGTAGGTAGCCTAGTCCCCTACTAGACTGATTTCCTTAAGGGCAAGTATTGTGTCATCTGGATAGGGAGCCTTCATATCTACTGGTTTCTCTCTTATTACTTCTATATGGAAGTTAGAAATAGCTCTCTTTTGTTTCATGTGAATAAACTGACATCAAAGGTACATCTTAATACTCTTTTGTGTACCAGATTTCATCAGAATCAGTCAAGTTCTATTAAAAATATTATGGAACAGTCAAAAATAAAGCCACACAACAAAGCAGAGGCCTCTTCTCATATTCCTTGACCAAGATTCCTGCATTGTAGCAAGAGCATTAAATAGATCATCAGAAGACCTTAGATTCACATTCCAGCTCAACCATTCAGTACCTGTGCAGAATCAGAGAGATGATGCAGAACTAGAAAAGGACAAATGTCCTGATTTACAAAAAAGAAAAAAAATGAGATGGGAATGAAATCTTGGCCAAATTAATGCACAGGTACTGAATGGTTGAGCTATAATTTACTCAAGTTAAGTCATATTTGATAAAATCTCTCATGTTATTCTTATGGAGAATATGGACAGATAGGGAATGTGGTAGTATAATTAGATGAATTCAGAACTGGTTGAATGGCTTGACCAAAAAAAGCAGTTATTGCTACCAACTTGGATGGATATTGTCAGGGGAGTGCACTCGGGATCTGTGCTACTCCTGTGTACCTCAACCATTTTTTTAAAATCAGTGACCTGAATAAAGACAGATGGTTTACTTATAGTTTTTGCTGATGACACAAAGTTGAGGGAGATAGCCAATACTTGTATTTCAGAGTTACGATCCCAAAATATTTTAGCAAGCTAAAACAGTGGGTTCTCAAATGATGCTCCAGGGACCCCTGAACAGCAAACAGGTCCCTTGCTTGGTTTGGGATACAGCACTCAGGGATGAAAATGAGCTCATGATGTAATTACACTGAGGGCATTGGGGCATTTGTGATCTACAAAGAAAGTGAAGTGCTAGGTTTTGAAGGTCAAGCATAGGTTATATGCAGTCACATGATTTTAGGAATAAAACAGAAAAAAATGAATTGGAAACTTCCTTTGTTTTGGGACATTCTGATAATGGCTAGACATTCATGTGTGAGAAAGTACCTTTGTTTTGGGCTATAAGATGTGATTCTCTCCTCTTGATCTTTACTGTTTGGGGGAGGGAGAAAACTATCTCCCTTCCACAAACACAGTCAGACAAATCAGTGAAAACCAATCATCTAGGAACACAACTATATAGGAAATCAATTTAGTTAAAGAGATATCTTTTGGGGGGCAGCTAGGTGCAGTGGATAGAGCACCAACCCTGGAGTCAGGAGGACCCAAGTTCAAATCCAGCCTCAGACACATGATACCCACTAGCTGTGTGACCCTAGGCAAGTCACTTAACCCCAACTGCCTCACTAAAAAAGCAAATAAAAATATCTTTTCCCACCAGAATACAGTTAGGTAGAACTTTGAAGGTCTGCACGGTACCTTCCCGACAACAATTTTGTAAAATAGAGCAAGAGTTATTACTACCATTTTACTGCTAAAAAAAAAAAACAAAAACAAAAAGCTGCGTCTCAAGAGAACTGATATATGTTACCCAGAGCCACACAGAGATTCTTTTCCTGTCTTCTGATCCCAACACAACAACTCTTTTGGGGTCCATAACTTTATTTTTAAAAATAATTTGGTAACAGTATTTCAATATAGTTAGCTTCCTTTATATTTTATGCATGTGAAAATATGCTTAAGAAGGCATCTGAAGGCTTTAGCATGCTGTTGAAGAGGCCTATAATATGAAGAAAGTAAAGAATCATTGCTCTAGTTGAAGACATGATATATTTGTTTATAAAAATAACTAACATTTCTATGGTGCTTTAGGGTATACAAAACAATTTCTCAACAGCAACCTTATGAGACAGACAGGTTAAGTACTAGTCTGTTTGTCTTATAGATGAGAAAGTTGAGGCCCAAAGTTGGGTCTCTTTGACTTTCACAAGGTCATACAGCAAGTAAGAATCAGAATTAAAATTTTGAATTCACGTGACAGAGACCATCTTCTTTTGAACAATGAAGTTTTATTGATATGTTTCGTTTTTACATTACCTAGATCAGACATGTCAAATAAATTAATTTAATTTATTTAATTAAAATTAAAATTAAACATTTAAATTAAGACGTAATTGGAAAATAAACAAATGGATGAAGTGCAATAAAATGTAGATAACATTACATTTAAAAATACAAATCAATATGGAATCTGCAGGATTCCTCATTTATGCTTTAGTGGCCCCCATTTCTATTTGGATTTGACACCACTGACCTAGATTTCTCTCTGTATGCCTCCCCCTTCCAATACATTTCATAACATTTTTTTAAAGTAAAGAAAAAGCAGTAGTGGGAAAAGATCAGCAAAAAATAATCAATATACTGAAAAAATATATATTATGTGCACTATTCCATACAATTGGACACCCACACACACAAACCTCTGTAAAGGACAGAGAGACTCCATTTGATCTTTAACTTAATTATTTTCAAAGTTCTGAGTATGCTTTTTGCCTTCTGTCACCCCCCAGTTATTTCTTTCTAGTTCAGAAATGACTGGCAAAGTCAGAACTATGCCAACCAAATATTTACACGGTTCCAACTCAAGTCTTTGCTGCCAGGGTTTTGCCATGACAGTCTCTAAAATACCTGCAATGCTCTGTGGGGACAAACACAGGAACTCGGGTCCAAAACCTCTCCAGCTGGTTACATATTTAAGTAGGGGTCACTTGCATTTGTCTGGACCTAAAATGAACCCTTTCCCTGCCTCCCTTCCCCACCCCCCCACCTCATTTGGAATTAACTCGGAAAGTCTGCAGGGGCTGATGTTCTTCCTCCTTTTCTCTCTCCCTCTCATTCCCTCCTCAGTATTTTCCACTTCACCATATTTTATTCCCTCTTATTATGAGACGCTCCTTCATTCCCACTCTGGCACAAACACACCCAGTGGCTAGATCTACCAGCTTCGAAGGAATTGATTGAAGCTCTGTAGTCCAAGGGAATAATTATTGATTGCAGACAGCTGTGTAAATGCTACAACTGCCACAGGCCACTGTCTACCTTTCCCTGGGATTCTCAACCTTTGCTTCTTTTGCACTTGTTTTCCCAGGAAAAGGATGTGAGGGAGCTTGCCCAGTAGGGTACTGGAGAGAAAACTGGTGCCTTGTCCATCTACAATGCATCTCAATGTCTAAACACTTATTCTTGATGCTAGTGCCCCCCATTCGGTGCATCAGTTGGGCTTCTATTTCATGACCTCACATGCCTGCCTTCACAGCCTTTTCCCTTCTGTTGCTCCTTACCTTGATTTTTCCTTTTGCTCTCTATTTGAACCCCCTTATTCTCATCCTGCTTTATAGGCACTGAGACTCCAGTATTCTGTGGGCTGTGGCTTTTTTCCTTGTCAGATGTTATGGTTCCTCCCCTTCTCAGTATGAGGCTTCCCCAGCCCTGAAAACCCTCTTTCTTTCTCCATAATCTGCTCTGTTATTTGTTCCTTCTCTTGATTTTTTTGTCCTTAGAAGTCTGTTTATCACATGATTGCTGAAGGCTGCTTAAAAAAAAAAAAACAGGCCTCTTCCCTTGCTACTTTGCTCAGCTCCTCTGCACTGATATGCTCAGGTCACTTCCTGATGTTCCACCTCTTGGAGCCCCAGGGTGTTGAACTACTTTGCAATACCACTCACCAATCCTCAGCTTTACTATGGATTCTAGCAATCATCTTATCATCTTGAATTTGGGCCCTTGGTGTTAAGGAATTAGGAAGGACATTTTGGCCTTACCTTTCTGAAACTGGTCTGAGGAAAACACCTTACCCAAATCCCAGATCAGGATTGGAGCAGTCCTGCCAGCACCCACAAACTAAGTTCCTTGAATATTTCTCTGACTGAAGATATTTCTCCAAGCTGGACTGATAAGGGCATACTGCACTCTACCTAAGACCTCCAGCCAACTCAAACTGATAGCTTTCCCTGCTGCCAAACTCTGGGGTCTCATCTTCTCTACAGAGTTTGGCCCCCGTGGCCCTGGTCTAACACAAGCACACCCAAGGTCCCCACTATGTTAGATCACTAGCATCAAATGAACCTACTGATGTTCTGAAGGGGTTGGCAGGGGGGAAACTAATAGGTTTGATCAGTTGTACAAAAGCTCTATCTTCCATGTACTTCTGCTAGTCTCCCCCCACCAGAATTCCCAAATTCTACATCACGTCTCCTGATTCCAAGTCCAACACGCTTTCTACCAAGCCATGCTTCTTCTTCAAGACTTCTTCACCAAGGTTTGCTGGTTTAAATGGCTTTTACTGATTTAGCAAAATGGTCAGAGAATTTCATCCCCACCATTCATGCTTTTGTTCACAGTTGCCTTCTGGAGTGATGAATAATCCCAGAACCTGGCAGATTGGAGTGGATGTGGGTGCGGGGCTGATTTCTGAAAGCATTCAGCAGGAAACATTTGAGATGTGCAGCCTCTCCACCCCTCCAACCAATGACCTCCCTCTGCCTTCGAAAGTAATGAGCCCAGAGAGGATCCTAGCCTTGCATTGGGAGCTAAGCCACAGCCGCTGCAATAATCATCAGGTCAATAAATCACCTTTGGTGTTAAGAATTTAATGGAATCATTCTTCTAGCTTACATAAATACTTGAAACACAGTTCTTAGAACCTTTATAGATAATACATTAGAAAAATGAAAAATGATTAAAGATCATATTTGATGACAAGTGTTTTATCTTTGGTTTTAACAGTGGCAATTAGAGAAGGCTGGGGATTGTTTCAACCTTGCCCCATCCTCCCAGGAAACTGGGCTTTGGGAAATTTTCAGGCACCTACAGTAATATTTAATTGAACAAAACCTGCTAAAGGTATAACTTTTGGCCTACTCTTCTTTGCCTTATAAGTATTCTGACTAATTCTACTCTCAAAGGCATTCATTGTTAATTTCCTAGTATTTGGAATGCTATGGAAGGCAGAACCAATCAATAGCAAGCAGCTATGCCTACGACTTCCCTGCTGCAATACTTAGCCATTGCCTTCTAAAGCTCAAAGAATCATACATAAAATGTTAGTGCTGGCAAGGACCTTGGAGAGCATTTAGTTCAGCATTTACATGCCTTGCTATTTTACAAGGAAGGAAATTAAAGTCTGCAGAGGTCAGTATAGTGGAAAGATCATTGGACTTAGAGGCAGAAAGCCTGGTTTTCAGCTCTGCATTAGCCACTTGTAAACTGTATAACTTCAAGCAAATCCCTTCTCTCAACCTCAGTTTCCTCATTTGTAAAGTACAGTTGATACTGGTAGGTAGGCCTACCTCATGGGGTTGTTGAATTAACTGAGGTACCAGTTGAAGGTTCTCAGTGAAAATAAAGCTGCAGTTACATGAGTGCAAGCAATTGTTAATGTTATAATGAATAATAACTTGTTTTATATTTCATTTAATTATTTATTTATTATAAATTATTATGAAATTATAATTTAATATTATTAATAGTAATATTTATTATTATCAGTAAAATGTAAGCTTCTTGAGAACAGGATCTTTTGTCTTTGTTTTGCTGCCCCCTGCATCCCCATCACAGTGCCTGGCAAGTACTTAATAAATGTTTACTGAATTTAATTGAATAGAATCATCATCATCATTATTATCTAAGGACACAAGTTAGTGGCATACCTAGGACTCATTCTTAACTTTTTATCTTACAAAGAAAGGAGGCAATATAAGCTGAAATGGCGATCTGGGTAACCTAGTCTCTAAATAGGCTTCCGAGATATGTCTAAGACACTTGGTGATAGCTCAGGAACAAACTGCTGAGCCAGCAAAGTCCATTGAAAGGATTTTTTTAATCTCCATAGAGAGCATTTTCAAGGAGCACTCACACATTTCCAATCTCATGAGTGCTTTTAATTTTCACACTCAATACTTAGCTTTACAAGCATTCTGTCCGGGTGGTAAAGGAGCTACCCTGAGAATATATTTAAAATAAAACCATAGCTCTTTCAACAGATCAATGAATTGATCTGACAATAGCAATAAATCACATATTAGAAGATCAGATATCCAAAGAGTATTGGACTTGGTGAATAGTGTTGTCTAGATTGGTAATAACAGTCTGGATTGTAGTATAAAGACCATAAAATTGTTCTTGGTTATGATTTCATCATAGTTGTTTCTGGATGATAACACCATTCCTTTATCCTCTTTCTCCTTTAGACTCTGGCTGCCCCTTCTGAGTCAGCCCTCAGTGGTTCCAGCACACAGCCCTGTCTGGTAGAGCCATGCCAGCCTACAGGGCCCTGTTTCCCAGAGTCTTCCGCTGATAGCTCTTTCGAGGAACACCAACAGCAAGAGCAAGGATGCAAATGGAGTGACCCATCATGTAGTCAGACAGAAAATCAGCATTCAGAAACTGAGCACTGGGGCAGCAGTCCCAGAAATACCATTATAAATAACACATGGACCTCTGGAGACCAGCCAGATGGCTCAACCTCCACAACTATAGCAGAAAGCCATTTGTCAAATGGGTTGTCAGCAAGTAATAAAGGTCTAAGTCCTTTGGGGGAAGACTCAGACATGCTGCGGAGAGTGAGATCCCTGGCTATAAAGCGAGGTAACGTGCTTTCCTGATTTCATTGATGATTTGCTGAAGGAAAGAAAGATCTTTGGTTTTCTCTGAGTCACAACACACTGAAGTATCCAGCATAGGTAGAATGGTGGATGTTGGCTACTGTAAATTTCTTTGTGAGGATAATAGTGAAACTTGTCAGGAGAAATCTATTGTCCTTTGTGATTCACAAAACATTTTCCCTACTATATCCCTGTGAAGAAGAAAGGGTAGGGATTATGATCACCACTCTATACATAAGGAAACTGAGGCTCAGAGAGATGGACTGACTTGCCTAAGGCCATACACTAGTAGCAGAGTTGGGATTAGTCACAAAGTCATAGCATTTAAAGCCAAAAGAGATCTTTGTAATTGTCTAGTCCGAAGGTCTTGCCTGAGAAAAGAAAGTCACATTAGTAGTGTGACTGTTAGTGAAGCCATGATTAAAATTCACATCCTCTCATTCCAAATCCTGTGATCCTTTCCCCCTACTACACTATGGAGCCTCAGACTGCAAACCAGAATTCTTTCCACTATACTACATCTTCACTATTCATTTGTTCTTTCATCTAACATCTACTGAGGGCTTCCTCCACCATTAAAACTCCCCTCTCCCAACAGATGCACACTTAATATAAAGGATCTACCACTTCCCAGATTTCTCATCTTTCTTTCTTTCTTTTTATTATTGTCCAGCTCTCCTTTGTTCTTGGAATATTCTGTCTTATTTCAAACATATTGGCATTTATGTCTATATGCCATAATCCAGAGTAACTCAGTGATTGACTAGGATCTCAATCAGGATTTGAACTTACTCTTTTTATTCAAGACACTTCAATATTCTCCATCAATATTTCTGCTAAAAAAAGCTGAAGCCAGAATGTGGTCATGATGCTCATAATCCTCACAACTAGCAATTCAGTGTGTTGTCAAGGGAGTTTTGTAACCTTTTGAAATTTTTTCATCCCCCATGACTTATAGCATGTCAGGACAAGAATCTAACTAAGATATTGAAAGCTTTGTAAAAGCACCTCTTTGAAAAGGTATTTCTTTCAAAGTTGTTTAGAGGGCTGACTGACTCCGGGATAGGATGTGACTGACTAGGGATAGGATCCATAGATGTGTGATAAATGCCCTTATTTGCTTGATAAATCTACATAGGTTTGATTCTCACAAAGCAAATGCTTTTCCTCTAATTGACATGTAGAAGTCAATCCTTCAAAAGCTGCCTTGCCTCCCAATATGATGTTGGGCAGCATCCCCCTGGTAACATGTCTATGAGATCTCTCCACAGCTGCTGCTGTATAAAGTGCCCCTTTGGGGGAGGGGGTGGAAGTCTGTATACCCTCCTGTTCCTTAGCCAACTATTGGAAACCAGCATATTAATGATGGGAAGAAAACACCAAACCCTCTGATTTGGAAATGACAAGCATTTAGTAGCCCATAAAGCATGTCAGAGATGGAACATGTCTCTTGGGGGTTGGGGGTAGAAAAGGTCACTGTCACCTACTTTCAGAGGCAGCTGTTCCATGGCAATAATAATTTGATTTGATTAACATTAAGCTTCCATTATGTATAAGGCACTGTGTTAGATGCTGGAAAACCAAGGTAAAAATGAAATAAGAAGTCTCCACCTTCAAGAAGCTTATATTCTACTGGATTTAATAACTTACATTCCTCTGGCCTTTAAAGTTTACAAAGGATCTTCCCTGTAACAACCTTTTCAGGAAGGTGCTGCAGGTCACATTATCCATTTTACAGATGAGGGTTTCGGTTTTTATTTTTTTGCATTTTACAAATCAAAGAATTACTTGCCCATAGAGTCAATATCAGCTCCAGAATTTGAACTCACTGTCCCTGTACAACAAGCCTAAACCTCTTTCTTCTCTACCATGCAAAATGTGGAGTTGGAAGGCCTAAGTTCCAGCCTTATTGGAACTTACTAGCTGTATCTGCTTGGGCAAGCCATTTCTCATCTATAAAATAGACAGCCAAGTGGTGGAGCAGATAATGTACTGAACCTAGAGTCAAGAAGACCTGAGTTCAAGTCTGGCCTCAGATACTTACTATGTATGTGATTTTGGGTAAGCCACCTAACTTATATCTACGTCAGTTTCCTCATCTATGAAACAAGAATTGAGAATGTGAGAGTAGCAAAGTGCCCTTGAGATGATCTTGTCCTATACCTTTATTAAATAGAAGAGGAAACTGAGGCCAAGATAGTCAAAGCAACTTTTCCTAAGGCACAGGGATTCTGTCTTCTGATTGATTCTGTCTTTACCACATCACACACACACACACACACGCACACACACACATACACACAAACTTGCTCATTAGTGCCTGCTAGTATTATGCTGTGCTCTACTGCCTCAGCTGATTTATGCCATGGACCCCTCAGTGTTCATGCCATGTGCCCAAGCCAAAGTAAACACTTAAGGAAAGACAGTCATCATTACATATGCCCCCATTCTACCTGTCACTGCCCAGGAAGAAATCACTGAGACTGCCATATATTTGGTGGAGCCGTGTTTTATCACAAAAATTTATAGTGAGAACAGGGACTCTAGAGCATTGAATCTAAAGGAACTTAAAGGCCTGCATTCCAGTTCACTACAGTTACTAACTGAATGGTGTGACAAGTCACTTTGTATTTTACTTTCTTCATCCATAAAATAGAGTTTCTACTAACCTCACAGGTGGTGAGCAGAAAATGAAATAGCTGATATGCTAGGATATAGAGTTGAAAAGGGATTTATTAAACTCTATAGGTAGTGGAATGATAGATGGATTATGTGAGTTTGCAATGGGTATTGTTTAAGAAGCCCTGAAGATAAAGAGAACCTGGGGGCGATGGTCATACAGTATTTTATTAATAAATGTTGGATGAAGGTAAGAGTAAATCTTGTCCAACTCATTCATTTTACAGTCCCAAAATCATAAGGTCCAAAGAAGGTGAAAGAATTTGATATATGTAAAAGATCTCTGAAAATTTAAAAATGTCAGACAAATGTACCTCTTCTGATGTCCTCCTCTAGGGGCTCATCATTATGTGGAGAAGACCTTAGGTTTTCAAAGGCTAGACCTGCAGAGTATTAGCTCTGAGATGTGTTACCCACTTGGAAATGCTTTGACCATGAGCCTGGTGACTGCTTATATATCTGTTACCCAAATAACTGCCTTGACTATGTTCATGGTGGCTTCTCACAAGCAGACTGGCCAGTGATGCTCCAGAGCATTGATGCTGGAGTTAGAAGAATTGATACTACTTGTCTGATTATGGGCAAGTCATCAAAACTTCATGGGCCTCAGTTTCCTCATTTGAAATATTTAAGGGATTGGAGTAGATGGTTCAGCTTCACTTTCTCTTCTGTAGCCATCTGGGTTCAGTGGCAAGATATAGGTCAGGATGAGTAGAGATGGCCCTGGATGCAGGGGGCCTTTTTAAGCTATGGTCTTTTTTGGGTCTCAGTCGAGAACACAGGTATGCCAGCAATGGTTACCTGGGAATTCAGTGATTAGGAAGGGCTGAGTATTTGTTGTTTTCTCAGGCAAAGGGCCAAGTCTCTCCTTAACATCTGACAGCCTATTGTATTGCGTGTGTGCATACTTTCTGAAATTCTTCTTAAGATACTTAAGAAATCATAGGTCTGAAAAATAAGAATTACAAACAGAAGAAAAATGGCAGTATTTGCAAAGAGTATTACAACAAACATTTTTCTTCATCAAGAATAGTGGAGCCACCACACTTGAAACCTTACATCATAGACCCTAAGGTGTTTATAGAGGAATTAGAAATGGCAATAAAGGGAACTAAGATGGAAAAATAAACTGGGATGAACCACTTGTATTATATAGAAGACAATTATGTTGAGAGAGCATTGAGAGGTAATTTATGAGGTAATAGTGATGATGATGACATGATGATAACAATAGCAGTTGATATTTATGTAGTGCTTTATGGTTTGAATTTATATACCTGCATAAAGGCAGAGAGATGGCTCATTGGATAGGACACTAGACCAGGAGTCAGGTAAATCAGAGTTAAAATCCTGTCTCAAACACTTACTATGTGACCCTGGGAAAGTCATTTAACCTCTTGCAGCCTCAGTTTCCTCATCTATAAAAATGGAATAATAGTAGTAGCTACCTTTCAAAGTAGTTGTGAGGGCAAAATGACATAATATTTGTAAGGTGCTTTGCCAACTTTAAAAATGCTATATAAATGCTAGCTATTATTGTGATCACTACTATGATGATTATGATGTGTATCCATGAGCATACTGTGTATATACACACCCACTCACAACAAATCCATTTGATTCCTACATCTGGGTTCAAAGAATCAGATGCAGAAGAAGAAGTTGATGGAGAGTGGAATGGGGTGCTTTGGAAGACAGTGAGTAAGGATTTCATCCCTGGAGGCTTTCCACTGGAAGATTGACCTGTGTGGCATGGTACAAGAGGGACTGGACTCTGAAGACTCCTAACTCTTGAGATTCTAAGGTTCGAGATTACAACTGCATCTCTCAACTTTACCCTCAAGAAGTCAGATTTTTGCATGGGAAAAGTATGAGGCAGAAGCCAGATCTTAGCTTGGAGTCCCAGCTCCACACAGCTCTAGCTTGGTTATTTGGGGCATGTAATTTACAATCAAATGAATGAGAGAATCTTTCTCTCCTTTTTAAAATGTCTTGGATTTTACATGGCAGATGCATACTACTCTCACAGGCTAACGAATCCCACCCCCTACCTATTTCTGGAAGAATAGGGTTTTTGTTAGCATGGAATACTTACAAACAAGAACAATGTACTGAATAGTAAACCATTTCTCTAAAGTTGGCATGAAGGGCATTGATAGTACAAACAGCTGCTGGGTTTAGAAATAGAACAGCATAAAGTATGTTAAGTGACCTACAAAGAGATCTGTTAATTTTCCCTTCTTTTCAGCTGTGCTATTTTCTTCCCACTCTACCTTCTTAAATTTTTCTTGCTTTTCTTCTGGG